GGGCAGGCGGTGGGGAGAGGCGTTTGCGCGCCAGCGCTCGGGCGCGGAGGAGAAGGCCGCCTGCCCAAGTCCCGTCTTTATCAAGCACGCGCTGGCGGGCCAGAGGGGCAAACGACACACCACCCTTCTGGTTTTCCATTTATCGCCCAGAGATTTGTCTCATCCGGGCGGGAAGCGGGGCTCTGAGCTCACGCGGAGAGGCCGGCGCCCTAATGTGTGCGTCCTGGGAGGTCAATGGCCTTCGGGTGATTGGGGCCTTCGGGTGAGTGGGGCCTTCGGGTGAGTGGGGCCTTCGGGTGAGTGGGGCCTTCGGGTGAGTGGGCCCGAAGGTGAGTGGGGCCTTCAGGTGAGTGGGGCCCGAAGGTGCTTCCAGGTCATTTTCGTGGCTTCATTCTCCATCTGTGGACGCTGGTCACCCGTCCCCTGTCTCCCAGCCCGGACCCCTGCCCCGAGCTCTAGACAGGCACTGTCCAGTGGAACCTCGGTGACGATGAAAGTGTTCATTCTGCTCTGTCTAACATTGTCCCCACCACACACAGGCGGCGACTGGGTCCTTGCAGTATGGCTAGCCCAACCGAGGGGCTGAATGTTTAGTTTTATACAATATTCATGCATTTGAATGTGAATTTAAATGGCTGCACGTGGCTCATGGCTGCTGCGTTGGACAGTGAAGTTCTAGACCCCATCTCATCCATCACCTGGCCTTCGGGTGAGTTCTGCCCAGGCAAGGATACGTGTGGAAGAGACTTGTTAGTGTGGAAGAAGCCAGAAGATGCCCGGTAAGGAGAGACGCAGCAGAACAGGAGGGAGAAGCTAAGGAAGGAGCAAAGGTGGCGTTTCAGGCAAGCCCAGCCCTGGCCGGGCCCTCTGGAGTCTGGAGTGTAAATTACGCCCCGAGTCCGTCTTGTTTGGAGGCCAGGGAGGCGGGTGTTCCCGGGCCCTGGCCAGTCATTGGCAGTTCCAGGCGCACAGGGGAACGTGACCTTCCAGGCACTCCCAGCTCCCTTGCTGCTGAGCACGCATGGCTTCAGTTGTCCATGGGAAGTGTCATGGGTGCACGGTGTCGGGAAGGTGGGCGGAAGTGGGGCGGGGGGTCCAGGGATTGGACAGAGCCCTGGCGATGTCTGCTCCATGACCCCTGTGCCCACCCCCGGGAGGGCCCCAGCCCTGTAACTCCGCGTGTCTAACTGTGGACTCTGCTCTCATTTCTTTCTGACGGAACCGACCCCCACACATTCAGCATCGTATGCTTCCATAGGTCCGAAGTCTGACTCGGGTCTCCCTGGGGTACAGTCGAGGTGAGGGTAGGCTGCATTCCTTTCTGGATTCTCCAGGGCGGAATCCCTTTTCTTGCCTCTCCCAGCTTGGCTGGTGGCCCTTCCTCCACCTCCAAAGCCAGCAGTGCCAAGTGGCATCCTCCTCTCGTGGCCTCTCTCTGACCTTCCTCGTCTCTTCTCTCTCTGGCCCCGCTAGGAACACTCTCCCGCCTTCAAGGCCCCGAGTGATTAGACTGGGCCCAGCTGGGCGACCCGGAACGCTCCATCTCGCGGCCCTTAATCACATCTGCAAGGTCTCCTTCTCGTGGAAGGTAACACGTCCCCAGTTCTGAGAATTGGGGTGTAGGCAGCTTTGAGGGGGTACCAAGTTCTCCAAGCCCCCCAAATGTGTCTGCTCACGCTCTCTTTCCTGGTGAATGGTCCCACCCTTTACCCTCTCAGTGTTTAAGCCAGGGGCTGACTCCAGCTACCCCACGGCCAACACATCCGCGATCCTGTTGCTCCTCCCTCCTACATGGCCCTCGAGTCGACACACCTGGCCCCATCTCAGCGCCTCTGCCCTGGTCTCGCCTGAATGTCTGGAAGGTCTCGCTAACTGTTCCTGCCTCCTGTCAGTGTTCCCTCCGCACGGCATCCAGGGTGATCTATACAGAGTGAGTTCCAGGCTGGGTCCACCGGGATAAGCCCAGTGATGCCATGGTAACAACCGACCCCAAACTCGCGGCGACTCAACACGAGGAAGGCTCATTTCTCACTCCTGCTGCCGTCAGGGCTGGCCAGCGGGGCTTCTCCTTGCAGTCGCTCAGGGATCGAGCCTGACAGAAGCTCCACCTGGACTTGAGCCTTTGCGGTCACAGCAGCAGGGCCAAGGGAGGAGGTAAAATCCTGTGCCAGCTCTTAAAGATTCCGTCCAGACGCCATGCTTCTGCCCCCATGTGATTGGCCAGAGCAGGTCACATGGCCGCGCCTAACATGAAAGGGCGCGGGAAGGACAGCCCTTCTGCAAGATGGTGGAGAGGTGCAGCGTTTGGTGGCCAGGCTAATGGTTGCCACCCTGGGTGTGTCCTTCGCTGCTTAAGGTTCTTCAGTGGTGGCGGGTGGTTGGGGATGGAATCTTATTTCTTCAGTGTGACCCACCGTCCCCCTGGAGCTGGCCCTTTCTGCCTCTCCAGCCCCACCTGGTGCACCTGCCTGTCTGACCTGGCAGGTAGCTAGCCCCAGCCTGCAGCCCACGCGTCTTCCCTGCGCCAGCTGCCCTCAGCCCAGGTTCTTTGGCCGCCGCCTAGACCGCTGTTCAGCCTTCCGGACACTCCCCACCCCAGCGTCCCTCTGGGCCTCTCCTCCCCCTGCCCGGGACAGGGTCAACCGGGCCAGAGGAGGTGAGTGTGAGCCACACACAGGCCAGCTGGGGTTGATGAGGACGTCTTTGTGAGCCAGCTGACAGGTGTTTACCAAGCACCTGAAATTTGCCAGTCAACCGGATGTATTTAACAATGAGAGGATCCTCATCTGCAAGGAGACCATACTCTTATTGGGATGTGTGTGACAAATGTCATGTTAAATGGGAAGCTTTGGCCATGATGTTGAGAAAACAGATGCTAGAGAGCAACGTGAGTTGGCAGAGAGACTACCATGAAGCACCTCCCCAAAAGAGGTGATGGGAATCCATATGAGGATCCTTGAAGTCCTCCCCTTCCTCAAGGGCATGGAAGGATCTGGAAGGTGAAAGTAGGAGTAGGCAGATTAAGAAAGGATCTTGGCTGGGCGTGGTGGGTCACGCCTGTAATCCTAGCAGTCTGGGAGGCCGGGGCGGGAGGATCGCTCAAGGTCAGGAGTTCAAAACCAGCCTGAGCAAGAGCGAGGCCCCCATCTCTACTATAAATAGAAAGACATTAATTGGCCAACTAAAAATATATAGAAAAAATGAGCCGGGCATGGTGGCACATGCCTGTAGTCCCAGCTAATTTGGAGACTGAGGCAGAAGGATTGCTTGAGGCCAGGAGTTTGAGGTTGCTGTGAGCTAGGCTGACGCCACGGCACTCTAGCCTGGGCAACAGAGTGAGACTCTGTTTCAAAAAAAAAGGGATCTTGATGGAGCTGCTGGTGCCCTGGGGGCCTCTCCCCACCAGCAGGTGTGGGCTGCTTCCCTGCACCTCGAGCCGGGGAAGAGGATGTGCAAGGAGACCGCTCAGCGTGCCCGATACGTGGGCCCTGCTGTCTGGGGGTCAGGACAGTGTCTGGCTCCCACTGGAAGGAGTCACTGCAGGAGGGCATCCGCCTGCCCGGGCTCTGTGAGCCGAGGACCTGCGCGTGCACCCCATGGCCCGGAGGATGACCTGCCCATGAGAGCCAGACTCACCTGGGCGGGGGGTCAGGGAACAGACCACAGAAGGGAGCAGCTTTCCACGTGTCACTGCGAGATTCCTCGGGAAGCGTCTCCGGCTGGAATGAAGATGAACCCACCTCCGCCGGGAACTGCAGGTGACAGGCTCAGCCATCGGGGATGGGGGGGAGGGCTCCAAAGTGCCTACCAGGGAGAGTCACCAGGCAGGTAGGGACCTTTTGTTGCCCTCACCTGTCCTCCCACACGGAGACCCTGGAGGGTCAGAGCCAGGTGAGTAGAGGCGGGAGGTGCAGACAAGCTGATGGACAGGCAAGAGCCACGAGGGAGAGGCCAGGCAGGCTGACTTCCCACCTGCAGCCGGCCTGGGGCCAGGGAGGGGGCAGAGCTGCCTATTAAACTAAGGGCAACGTTGTGACCATCTCATGGCCCTGACATTTGAATTACAGGTGGGAGGACTTTGTCCCTGGTCACTTAAGATGACCAGAGAGTCATGGGTCCCACCCAGCTTTTCATCCAGGGTGAAAAGCAGTGCCACTGAATTCATTTAAACGGAGGATGGGGGACAAAAATAACACAACTTTATGAGCACGTCTCGAGCCGTGGCTATTCATCGATGTTTGCTCAAATAAATAAAGTCATATAGGTGCTGAGGAGGCCACTGGAAAGTAGAAAAGGGTTTCTGTGCTAGAGCAATGGGAGACTGCTTTGGCCAGTGTGGCGGGGGCGGGGGGAGCATCTGAGAAGGTGACATTTGGGTTGAGGCCTCAAGGATGAGCTGGAGCTGGCGGCGCAGGGGGTGGGGGCGGGGGTCCAAGTGCGAAGACCCGAGGCAGGAGCAGGCTGTCAGAGAGGCAGCAAGTGGGTGGCGCGTGCAGGAAGCAGGGGGAGACAGGGTTGGAACAGAGCGGCAGACAGACGGGGTCAGAAGCGGGCACGCTGTACCGAGTGTGAGGAGAAGCCGGTGGAGGGCTGTGCAGCGGGGGCCGAGCCTCTGATCCAGGCCGGTGGCCGTGGGGGACGGGCAGGGAGTAAGGGCAGGGTGGCTGCAGGGAGTCCGGTCTGCCTGGGGCGGGAGAGAGCGCGGTGGCCTGACCGTGGCGGCTGCCGTGCGGGTGCCGAGCCGCCCCGGCTTTACTGGCGTCCGGGGCTGGAGCCGGCAGGACTTGCCGATGCTCACGCGTGTGACCGGAGAGGCTGAGGGCGATTCCGGGGCTTCTGACTCATGCCACCGGGCGGGTGGTGGTGCCATTTCTGAGATGGCAGGGGGTGGGGAGGAGGCAGATTTATTTTGGGAAGGGAGTCAACAATTCTTTTCTGGCTGAGTAATGTTCCCGGGCAGTGCCTTGCTAGATGGTGGGGAGGCAGGAATTAAGGCCCCGGTGACAAACAATGTGGGCTCGGTTGCGTGACTTTAGCCTAGTCACTTAACCCTTTATCTTTGAGACAGGTTTTCTCCTCTGTGAAATGGTAAAAATAACAGCACCTGCCTTCCAGGTTTGTTTCTGGGGAGGGACAGCTGTGTGCAATGGGCGTGACCCACAGCAAGAGCGCGAGAAATGCAAGTGGTCATTGGCTCCCTGGTTGCAAGTCCCATGCTTACGAGTGCGCTCCGCGCCCGAGCGGAGAACTGTGCCGTGGCCAGTCACGTTTTCGCCAGTGTTTCTCCCAAAACCCTCAGAACCTGGAGTCAGTCTGCAAGAGAGCCGGCGCTAGCCAGCAGTCTTCACTGACGTTCCCGTGCAGGCTGCCCTCTCACCTGGAGTTTTCGATAAAGCGCTCCGTCTCTTTAGTAGGTGCGGGCCATCCAGGTTTTCTACTTCTTCTGGGGTCAGTTTTGGTGAGTCACGTTCGAAAGGGAATTCGTCCGTTCCATCTACATTATTAAATATATATGGGCATAACATTGTTCCCAGCACTTGCTTATAATCCATTCAGTGTTGGTAGGATATACAATGATGTCCTTGCTTTCGTTTTTACTAGGTTGGGCTCATCAAGTTTATTAATCTTTTCAAAGCATTAGCTTTCGATTTCATTGATATTTCTCTATTATTTTTTCTGTTTTGTCAAGTTTTGCTCTTATCTTTGTAATTTTCCTCCTTATACTTACTTGGGTATTAATCTGTTCTTTTCCTAATTTCTTAATGTGGAAAGTCATACCAAGGATCTAGATTTTTCTTCTTTTCTTATATAATTAAAGCTACTCATCCCAAGCACTGCCTTAGCTAGATCACACAAATTTTGATATATTTTATTTCATGTTCATTCAGTTGGAAATATTTCTTAATTTCCTCTGCATTTTCTTCGTTGACTGTGGATTAATTAGAAAAGTACTGTTTATTTTCCAAATGTGGGAGATTTTTCTAATTGTCTTGTTATTGATTTCTAATTTAATTCCATTGTCGTCAGAGAATATTCTGTTTATGATTTCGATCTTTTAAAACTTATTGAGACTTGTTTTATGGCCCAGTGAATTGCCCATAATTGTAAATATACCATAAAAATTATGTATCTTTGAAGACACACACTTAAAAAGAATGTTTTCTGCTGTTGTTGTGTACAGTGTTCTATAAATACCAACTGAGTGAAGATGATTTTTAGTGATGTTCAGATTTTTATGCATTTGATGGTTTTTCTGGTTGTTGTTGGTCTAGTTGCTCTATCAATGCTGACATAGAAGTGTTAAAAATCCCCAACTATTATAATGATTGTAGTATTATTTATTGCTCCCTTTGATTTTGCTACTTCATGTAATTGGAGACACTGCTATTAGGTGCATATACCGTGTTTCCCCAAAAATAAGCCCTAGTGACGGGCGTGGCCACGCAGCGCATCTGCACAACCCGTGCGTGTCGTTGAGGAGTGGTAGAGAAGCCGAGCGGCCCTTCTCATCTGCCCCATCGTGACAGCTGCTCTCCCAGAGGTGACCGGAAAGGTGCGGCAGCCCCACCAACAAGGTCGGCCCCCCTGTCGGGTCCCGGCCAGCCTGTGCGTGCCGCAAGCTGAGGCTTTGAGGGGAAGGTCTCTTCAATAAAGCGAGGATCGGGTCGCTCCGTGTTAGGTAATGTGTGTCCCCAGGGGGAGAAAGGAAAGCTGTGGCTGCCATTTTACTACGATGATGTTCCAGAAGGAGACGACTTAACTATGTCTGAATAAATGTAGGTTGTTGTACCGTACTTAACAAAACTAATACATCCCCTGAAAATAAGCCCTAGGGTATCTTCTTGAGGAAAAATAAATATAAGACCCTGTCTTATTTTTGGGGAAACAGGGTATATTTACGATTATTATGTCTTTCTGATGAATTGACCCTTTTATCATCATGAAATGTCCATCTTTATCTCTGATAACACTTTTTATCTTGAGTTTTGTTTCGTCTGATATTAACGTAGGCACATTCTGTGCTTACTGTTTGCGTGTTATTTTTCCTATCCACTACTTTTAGTCTATTGGTAGCTTATTGTTTCTTTTTAGGGTAGCATATAATTTGGTCTTTGTTTTTCAATCTATTCTTATGGCCTCTGCCTTTTAATTTGAGCATTTACTTTATTATTGTTCTATGTCATTACTGAGATGCTTGGAGACAGGTTTTCCAGCACCGAGTCCCCCTGGTCCCGTTACTTACCTGCTGCACGACCCCGGGCAGCTGACCCTGAGCCGGCCGCGGCTTTCCCACCTGCAGGACTCTGCGTCCGAGGACGCTGTCTGGGCAGACAGGAAAACGCACGCGTTTGTGCTAAGCCCAGGGTTGGTCTCCCCGTTACTTCCACGAGTATCTCTCTGTTGCTTGTGGGGGAAGAGCCCCAGAGCCAAGCACTGGCCAGTTTCCAGCCTGTCGGTTCCTCCAAGTGGGTAACTCCAGCAAGGGCATCTTTTTCATTTTTATTTTTTTGCCAGGAAAATGAGACTTTAAAAAATGATACATTGCAGTGCCATGACTTTTATTCAGGATTTTCACACTTTATTTCCCTAAACCAGTTCTGCCAAATAGACTATGCTCCAGAGCCATTGCCCACAACAAACAAGAAGGGGCCCGGAATGCCCCTTGGGGGTGTGACAGAGCTCTGAGCCTGGGGAAGCGGTTCTGGGGGCCCGGGTGTGGCTCTGCAGTCCTGGGCCGGAGCCTGGCTCATGTGTTTATTGGGCACTTGTTTGCTTAGTGTCTACAGTGTGTCAGTCACCGCAGTGGGTGCTGCAGGCACAGCAGCACGCGGGACAGACACAGCCCCGTGTGTGTGTATGAGACGGGAACCACCCTTGTTCAGGGCGGCTGGCGGGCTGTGCCGAGGCTGATGGATGGGTGGCATTTGCCTGCGCAGTGGTGGGGAAGGACTAGAGGGCTGGCGGGAGGGCACGTGAGGTCTGGAACTGAAGGGAGGCCTCGTAGCGCCGATGAGCGAAGGATGGGGAGGGAGAAGAAGTTAGAGGAATGGTCAGTAGTGTCAGCAGATTTCGCAAATAAAAATCCAGGATGCGCAGTGCAGTTTGAATTTCAGATAAAAGCCAAATCGTTTTTAGTGTAAGCGTGTCCTGCAGGTGTTGTGTGGGATGTACTTACACACGCTCACACTAACAAATCGTTCGTTGCTTATCTGGAATTCAGATGGAGCTGGGTGTCCTGCAGTTTATCCGGGAGCCACAGGTGCGGGGCTTGCAGCCCAGGGCAGGGACCTTGTTCTCAGGCCAGGGGCAAAGGGAGGCCGGGGGGTATGAGCCGGGCAGCACCATCTGGGCAGCATCTTGAGCTCAGCTGCCGGCCGGGGAGATGGATGGTCGTGAGGGGCGCAGGAGGCCAGAGGGGGCTGCAGCATCCAGGGGACCCCTGGGCAGCGGTGTAGGGAGGCGCGCTGGAAAAGGGCCTGGCCTGGGTCTGCTGCTCCTGCCCGCTGGGCCCCTGGGAAGGGAAGCTGCCCTTTGCCACGGGACCATTCCTCACGGTGCCAGGGGATGTCGTGCAGACACAGCGCCAGGCCAGGGCCCTTGTTCCCGTCCCTGGGAGGCACGGCCTGCTCTGGCTCCTCCCCGCCCCCCGAGTGAGAGTTGCTCAGCCCAGACAGGCATCCTACACTGGTGGTTTGTTTTTGTGATTCAAAAATGAGTCATGGCACCCCAGGCGGGAGCAAGCTGAGGACTGTTTCTCTGGCTGGGCGTGGGGGTGGGGCCTCAGCCTCTTGGAGGCTGCAGGGTTCAAAGCCAGCCTCCTGTCTGCAGCATCGGCTATTCAAGTGCAAGAGACAGAAACCAACGGTGCTGTGTTCAAATTCTGGCTCTTGCTCATCCGTAATGTGGGAATGAGAATAGTGTCTCCCTCCTGGGGCTGTGTGGGATGTGGAAGGTAGGTGCTCAACTAATGCCATTTTCCTCCTTCCCTCCCCAGCCAGAGGAGCCGGCAACGTGTGAGTCAGGAGCAGGATCAGCAAACTCGACCCAGTGAAAGGCCAGCAGTTCCTGCCGCAGCGCTCGGCTCTGTTTATGGCGGGAGAGCCACCACAGACGAGACCCGGTGGGCAAGCTGGCCGCCTTCCAGTGGAACTTCACTTATGGACTCTGCTATCTGAGTTTCGAGTAATTTCCATCTCATTTTCAAATGTCACATAGCATGAGATTTTCCCAACCATTTAGCTATGGAAACACTGGTCGTAGCTCGCGGGCTATAAAACCAGTGGCCAGGCTGGATGTGGCCCTCGGGCGTGGTCCACAGACCCCTGCCCGGAGCCCGGTTGCCACGGCCTGGCTGGGGCCGCTTGCTGCCCCGTGCATGACCTGCCAGGCCACAGCAAGGTTGCAGAGTCTAGAACTGGAATGAACCCAATGCACAGTTTTATATTTTCCTAAGGTTCTAGGATCAAAAATACTCCTTTTGAGCTGATTTGAACTAGAAAGAAACTGATAGGTTTTCTAGAGCTTTTGCTGGGAGCTTCCTGCTGCTCCCCGAACTGTACCTGAACCGAGTCAGTCCTGCTGGCGCCCCTGCATCCCGGCTTGAGGCCGGTGCGGGGCCCAGGACTGACTTGGTTGCCAGTATTGAACGTCCCACAACCCAGAGCCCCTCAGTCCTGGGCAAATCAGGGCGGTTGGTACCTTTGAGGTCCACAGTGGGCTGGAGAGAGGCCTGCCTCCTCCTGCCTCCGAACAAACCACTGTGTGTGTGTGAGTCCGTCTTCCGAGAGCAGAGTCTGGGAAGGAGATGAGGACCAAGCAGCTCTGAGGGCATCTGGGGAAAGAATGTGCTATCAGTGGGAACAGCATGTGCAAAGGCCCTGAGGTGGGGAGGTGCTCAGCACCCACAGGTTGCCGAGAGAGGGTCAGCAGGCAGTGAATGCACAGTCAACATTAGGGCGTATGGAACAGGTCACCTCGGGCTCCCACAATGGCCCCAGAGAGCCCCTCTCCTCGTCTCCCCACTGCAAGGAGTCATTTTCTCCTTGGGAGCCCAGTTCAAAGGTTTCCCAAAATATTGTCAGGATTCCATAAAAGCCAAAGCGCCAGGCTGCCAGTGCAGGAAGATGGGGACAGCTTGCCAGTTATCAACCGGAGATAATTAAATCATGAGCTGACAACAGTTCCCCCGGGACCCGGCAAGCTTGCCTCTTCCCTCCGCAGGTCTGCCGCCCGCAATGCAGAGAGGGAAGTGGGTTTGCCCCCTGGAGAGAGACGGGAAAGCAAAACAGTCCTCATCACAGAAAAGCAAACGAACCGTAAGGAGCCAGTGCCCAGGCCTGAGCGGATTTCCGCATCTGCAGGAAAATGCCGTCCGTCGCCAAGGATGGGACGTGCTTCGGGGCAGGTCTCTGCACGGCGAGGCCTCGCCCCGGCCACCTCTGGCTCCGGGGAACAGCGTGGTGCCCACGGTCCGGGGCTCTTGCCGGTTGCCACAGCTGGCGTCCTAGTGGGTGACACCGTGGGCTTTGTGCGAGCGGCAAGGCCTTGTTTCACAGCCCCTCGGCTCCATGATGCAAGTGTCGGCACATTTCGCAGACGAGGAACCTGAAGTTCAGAAAGGTCTCAGAGTACGTGCTAAAGCCCAGCGGCAGACCCTTGTTTTGCCAGCATCGGACCCAGGCTCTGGCCTTCTCTGTGATCCTCCCCGTGTGGCCCGGATCCCCTCGGGAGCCCTGGGCTCTGGCCTGAGCTGGGTGCTGAGGGCAGCGTGTGCAGCCCCGTGAGGTTTCTTCGCCCTACCCCTGCCAACTTCCTCTGTGAGTCCCTGGGAGCAACTGTGCTGAGGAGTAAGGCCAGGGAGCCTCCCAAGCACAACTTGCGTGGGTGAGAGCTCAGGAATGGCTTGATCAAGGCTCCTTGGGCGCCTTTTCTGATTCTCCCACCGGCGTCCTGAAGGGGCACTCCTCAAAGTCTGCTTTGTACCTTCGAGTGTCACGTCAGGAGCAGCGATGGTGTGACGGAACACAAGCGTGACTCAGAGTCCTACTGTATTGGAACCAGACCTTGGGGTCAAGTCCTGTCTGCTACTTCCTGGCTTTATGACCTTGGGGAAGGTACTTTCCCTCTCCTGGGCTTGGTTTCCTGATCTGTAAAATGGGGCTAAGATCAGCCCCCGGGTGCTGTGAGAACGCAGTGAGTGATCTTGCAGAGATGCTTGCCCGGGCCCTGGTGGTGGAGTTGTGCGCTGTGACCTCAAGCCCGACCCGGCCACGGACAGGGGCTGCTGTGGCTGTGGCCGGTCCCTGCACAGAGCGGAAGGGCGCCCGTCCCACGGAGGCAACCACCAGGATGGGCTGCAGAGTTGGGGGGCCCAGAGCAAAGCGTAACGGGAGGCCCTTGTTCAGAAATAATTAAGACTCCCAAGACAGCAACAGAAGAGCATTAGGGCAAGGACGGGCCCTCAGTAGCCCCCCAGGAGCCGAGGCCGGGCACGCAGACGGAAACCCAGACTGCTGTGACGGCCCACACACACGGATCCAGCCAGCCGCTGCGCCGTGAGACGTGGCCGTAAGCAGATAACCTGTGAGGTCTCAGCTTCCTCACCTGTAAATTGGGGTCCCCGCGCCAGGACGCGTGGAGGGAGCACCGCTGTCCTCTGATGGGCTGGGCGCCGAGACTGGCAGGGGAGCAGAAGCAAAGCCCCCAGGAAGGACGAGCCTCGCAGGCGGGGACCTGCGCAGTCCCACGGGGGCATGACGTGCTGCCGCTGTGCACCTCCCATCGCCGCAGTCCCACGGGGGCACGGTGTCCCGCCGCTGCGCGTCTCCATCGCAGCAGTCCACGGGGGCACGGGGTCCTGCCGCTGCGCGTCTCCATTGCCGCAGTCCCACGGGGGCACGGTGTCCCGCCGCTGCGCGTCTCCATCGCTGCAGTCCCACGGGGGCACGGTGTCCCGCTGCTGCGCGTCTCCATCGCCGCAGTCCCACGGGGGCACGGGGTCCTGCCGCTGCGCGTCTCCATTGCCGCAGTCCCACGGGGGCACGGTGTCCCGCCGCTGCGCATCTCCATCGCTGGCCGATCGTGTCTTTGGACTTGTGTGTTCCAGGAGACGTGCAGGGCCAGGGTGAGTGGGCGCAGCACCCGCGCCCCGCCGCCCCTCTGCGTGGGCGTTCACGATGCCCACGCGCACGGACTTCCGGGGACCCTCCCCTCGCGGGGGCTTGGCAAGATCAGCGCGAGGGGGCAAGCGGGCTGCGTGCGTGGGGGAGCAGGAAGGGCCTGAGGCCGGGAGGCCGCACGCTCCCCCCGAACCACAGACGCACGGGGACGGCGGGACTGTCCCAGCGCCAGTGACCGAGGGGCGCCCTCGTCTCCCCTGAATCAGCGCCCGCTCGGGCTGCACCGATGACAGCTCTCCCAGCACCGCGAGCTGAAGGTGGGCAGCGTGGGCGGGACGCGCACGTTTCAGGAAGCCAGTGAAACCGTCGCTGGCGGGCAGGGCTTCTGCAGCGCGGTGGGCGCACACGTACGGGCTGCCAGACGCCAATCGTGTGATTCTGATGATACCGCACTCGGGGTAAATGCTCTTACATTTGCATTGAAAGCTGACATGGCATGATGATAAAATTCATGTGAATAATTTAAAATTTTTTATTTACTTAGGATGACTTTGAATAGCAAATAAAACACAGCACGACAAGCCCGGAGAGACGGCGGAAGAAAGGGAAAAGCGTTAGAGTCTGGTACCTTTTTTAAATCTTGCTCTTTCCTGCTTTTTGAACAAAGGGCCCAACGTTTCTGCTTTGCGCCAAGCCCCATCACGGTGTCCGCCGCTGCGCGTCTCCATCCCGCAGTCCCACGGGGGCACGTGTCCCGCGTGCGCGTCTCCATCCCGCAGCTGTCCCAACGGGGGCACGGTGTCCCCGCTCGCGCTCGGCGTCCAGGGACTGTCGCCGTCTCATCGGCCGCAGTCCCACGGTGGCACGGTGTCCCGCCTCGCTGCGGTCTCCATCTCCGAGTCCACGGGGCACGGTGTCCGCGCCGTGCGCGTTCTCCATCGCCCAGTCCACGGGGGCACGGGGTCCTGCCGCTGCGCGTCCTCCATCGCCGCTCCCACGGGGGCACGGGTCTGCCGCTGCGCGTCTCCATCGCCGCGTCCCACGGGGCACGGTGTCCCGCCGCTGCGCGTCCCATCTCCCGCAGTCCCACTGGGGCACGGTGTCCGCCGTGCGCGTCTCCATCGCCAGTGTCCACGGGGTCACGGGTCTCTGGCCGCTGCGCAGTCCCATCGCAGCAGTCCACGGCGGCAGGTGTCCCCCGCCTGCGCGTCTCCATCCCAGTCCACGGGGCACGGGTCCTGCCGCTGCGCCGTCCCATTGCCGCAGTCCCGGCATGGTGTCCGTGCTGCGCGTCTCCATCGCCGCAGTCCCACGGGGCATGGTTCCCGCTGCTGGCGTCTCCATCGCCCGCAGTCCCACGGGGCACGGGGTCCGCCGCTGCGCGTCTCCATCGCCGCAGTCACGGGCACGGGGTCCGCCGCTGCCCGTCTCCATCGCCGCATGTCCCACGGGGGCACGGCTGTCCCGCCGCTGCGCGTCTCCATCCGCTGGCCGATCGTGTCTTTGGACTTGTGTGTTCCAGGAGACGTGCAGGGCCAGTGTGAGTGGGCGCAGCACCCGCGCCCCGCCGCCCCTTCCGCGTCCGCGTTCACGTATGCCACGCGCACGCCTTCCGGGGACCCTCCCGCCGGGGCTTGGCAAGATCAGCGCGAGGGGGCAAGCGGGCTGCGTGCGTGGGGGAGCAGGAAGGGCCTGAGGCCGGGAGGCCGCACGCTCCCCCCGAACCACAGACGCACGGGGACGGCGGGACTGTCCCAGCGCCAGTGACCGAGGGGCGCCCTCGTCTCCCCTGAATCAGCGCCCGCTCGGGCTGCACCGATGACAGCTCTCCCAGCACCGCGAGCTGAAGGTGGGCAGCGTGGGCGGGACGCGCACGTTTCAGGAAGCCAGTGAAACCGTCGCTGGCGGGCAGGGCTTCTGCAGCGCGGTGGGCGCACACGTACGGGCTGCCAGACGCCAATCGTGTGATTCTGATGATACCGCACTCGGGGTAAATGCTCTTACATTTGCATTGAAAGCTGACATGGCATGATGATAAAATTCATGTGAATAATTTAAAATTTTTTATTTACTTAGGATGACTTTGAATAGCAAATAAAACACAGCACGACAAGCCCGGAGAGACGGCGGAAGAAAGGGAAAAGCGTTAGAGTCTGGTACCTTTTTTAAATCTTGCTCTTTCCTGCTTTTTGAACAAAGGGCCCAACGTTTCTGCTTTGCGCCAAGCCCCGCAGGTGAGAAGCAGGGCCCTGGTTCTGCCACCTGTGTGTGCCCAGCGCCTGCCCTGTCGGCCGCGGAACCAGCCGTGCGGCCGCGGAGGGCAACGTGCCGGGGAGCGCCGACGCCGGCCGCATGCCCCGCGCGTGCCCCGCGCTTTGCACGGACCGCTTCATTTCATCCTCCCCACGGCCTTGGCGCGCGGGTGCCGCTCTCGTCTCCAATGTGCGGATGAAGAAACTGAGGCTGGAGAGGTGAGATGACCTGTGCCACCTGGGAAGTGACCAGCTGGCGCGGAGCCCCAGCGCCTCCTGTCTCTAAGCCCCGTGCCGCCCCACCCCATCGTGCCACTCCGCTTTGCTCTGCAGGATCTATTTCCTCTCTCGGCCTCTGAATCTAGAAGCCCCTGGAACCCTCTGGCCAACTGTTTCCTTCCTCTCTCGAAGAGGTTTCCGCACGCAAGTCCAGAGGGAGACGGGGCGAGGAGGAGAAACCGGGAAAAGGCAGTGGATTTTTGTGTTTTATTTATGGTCAAATGTTTGTCCTCTCTGCGCGGCGACCTGGTTTGAATCAGGCCCCCTCGGCCGTGCGGATCAGAGCACAGGGACCCTCCCGGGTCCGCGGCGTCCGCGTGAGTGTTAATTGCATTTTCATGTCTGCCTATAAACTCCTGTTTGGGAGAGCCTGCGCGCTCTCAAAATAAACGGCGATGTAAAATTGAAAACGGCTAGCGTTCCCGAATCAATTTTCACATCTTCTAGCTTTGAAGCATAATTCATTTCTCCCTCCCGGGCCCGAGCGGCGATGGGGGCAGCCTCACGCTTGCCGTGTGACTTCGCGAGGAGCAGACCAGTCAGGAATCTGCCGCGTCTTCGTGTCTCCCCACCCCACGGACCCTTCAGCGAGAGCGAGAAGTGCCAGATCGCCCCGCTTCCTGAAACCACGCCGGCCAAGCCAGCGCAGGGAAGCTGGGACTTATTCTGTGAGCCCGAGCGGCAACCGCAGAGTTCGGCCTGTAGTGTGAGGGTGTCACCCCGAGACTCCACGTGGGGAAGGACACGGGCACGGGGCGGGCACGTGTCAGAGTGCCATACCAAAAAGGTCCGTGGTTGCCGTAGCTGCCACGTTCCTTAGAATAGTATTTTCTTTAAATATACATATATTTAAATCGAGGCATAACATACATAGAGCGCACAAGCCCTGCAAAATGTGCCACTTAATGCATTTTCACACGTACGCACGCCTCGTTAACCCCACTGTGATCGAGACATGGCGCCTTTCCGCACTCAGGTCCCAGGCTAGACCTCCTGCCAGGTCACCCTCTTCTGCCTTCTAACACCGCGAATGAGTTTTCCTTGTTCTTGAACGCTGCCTAAACGGAGCCATATAGCATGTGACCTTGGGCGCTGTCTTCCTCTATTCATCACTGTGACTCTGCATTTCATCCCTGCTCTTGTGCATAGCAGGGCCTGCTCTTTTTCACTGATGTCTAGTACTCTACCACACGCCTAGGCCACAATTGCATTGTCTGTTTTATTGTGGGTGGCCATTTGAGGTGTTTCCAGTTTCTTGGCTATCGCAAATTGCATTGCCATCAGCATTAGGAGAGGTCTGTGAGCCTTATATTAAACACTGGCTGGCCCTCTGGCCCTATGGGCCCGAATGTCACACACACGCATACATGAACATGCACGCACACGCATGCACACGCTTGCACACATGCACACGGACACACGCATACACACGTTCACACACGCACATGCACACACACGCTCGCACACATGCACACACACGCACACGCTCACACACACGCACATGTACGCACTTGGGTCCTGACCAACACACTCTCCGTTGTTTTCCCTTCTCAGTTTTGGCTGACTCGGGCGCCCTGAGAGCAAACACGCTCAGCGCCTGGCTGGGGGCCGTGATCCCTCTCTCTCGGGAGACGGATCCATCGTTTCCAGACCGCCAGCGTCCCCTCCCGCGGCTCCTCTGAAGTCTGCGCGATCCTGGGGGACCCCGCTCCCCCCTGGAAGCCGGCCGCCTTTCCCGAGTTAACTGCTAGACCTAATTAAGCGGCTCCGTCTCCTCGCAGTGGCGGCCTTGCCTCCCCTCGGAATACAAATGAGACTCCACGCCGTTAGCATTCAGGTCGGTTATCAGAATCAACTCTTTTAA